ACCAGTCGGAGCTGAAAAAGCTTCTTCGATAAGAAGGGAAACGTCTTCAAAGAAAAACAAGGAAGTCCAGTTGTCTCTTGAGCAAACACTTTTGGAATAATCATGACTGAGAATCTCCATAGACTTTAACACATCTTCCCCCGAAGTGTGGCAGAGTAGAGTGAAGTTCACACACTATATCTCCAAGTCAGATTCATCAGGAAAAACGGTTTTCTCTGTAACTCCTCTATTACAACCAACTATTTAGGGTGATCCAGATCTCAAAGTTGGGGAGTGTGACCTATTCAGACTCTTAGGTAACACCCACACTGTGAAATTTTTCTTTCAAAAGAGGCTGCTGCAAAGGGGCATAGATTTACATATTCTGGATTCATTCCCATATCTCAAAGCATTTTTCTTTAGAGCTGAATTTCTCTGGAAAGCCTTTTATCAGTGAATAGGCTATTTAGCTGTATGTTTTAAAGCCTCTTTATCTCAGAACATGTCCCCATCTCCAATTTACATAAGCCATTCCACCTCTCCCCCTTGGCCATATGGCATAACCTTCATCTCACTCACAGCCCATCAGCTCTACAACCTTCAGTCATTAAATACAGCTGATGCTACCCCATCACAACTCCAAATGGTGTAAAATCTAGAAAGTTTGACAGTGCAGTGAGATGATCTGTTGTGTCTTTGTCCAGAAGTTGTTTTTCAGATATGAAGTGGGAGTACCATGCCATACATTTCTGACCTGAACAGCATATGGAGTATGCAAAGTAAATTTGCAGAAAGCTGAAATAGTGCACATCACCAATGGTACCTAGAGAAGACAATATTAAGAGCAAATCTCACTGCCTTCCTTCTACCATTGATAATATACCTTAATTTGGTCAAGAAATATCTGGGAAAAATCCCCACTAAGCTCAGAAAGCACCAAGAACCCTACCTCGCAAATCATCTTAGAATAGAGATAGCAGGCTGGCTTGCTCTGCCTTCTTACAGCTCTGGGATCTGAGCCTGTTTCTTCTCACCAGATGACACTACCAGCGAAAAATGGTGAACACCACACCATAATGGGGCAGTGGGTGGGGCAGGAGGGTGTATTGTCATATTCACCATTGCCCAGAAATTGTGTTTAGCAGATGGGGTCAAGGGTTCAGATAACCAGATGGCAAGGCTGTTGCTTTGACAGCAGCAGGTAGATGCAATTTAAACCAGAGATGTGGAAAGGCATCTTCACCCTTCTGGAAACCTTGAACATCAGGAAAGCAGAGCTTCAGAATCTCTCTCTCTCCCTCCCTCTCTCTCTCTCTCTCTCTCTCTCTCTCTCTCTCTCTCTCTCTCTCTCTCTCTCTCTCTCTCTCCCTCCCTCCCTCCCTCCCTCCCTCCCTCCCTCCCTCCCTCCCTGGGACATGGAAAAGCAATTAGGAACTCAGGGAGAAAATACAACCTGGAAGCTTGAAGAAGGGAGCGCGCACACTGAGAGAATTACGAACAGACTCAGTAATAGGTGTAAAACTCAGCGGGGCTGCTTTGAGTTGGACCTAAAGTGGGCTCATTGCAAGATATATTGCAGTGAACTACCGAACCAATCTCAGCAGAAGCCGCTCATTTTGTTTAACTTGCGGTTGGCAGCCGTTGGAGGTCCCGCTGCTGCTGTCCTACGCATTTCTCGGCTAAATCCGGATGCGCGCTTTGGGGAAGGGTGGAGTAGGAGAATTCATTTTTTATTCAGTTTGCACGGGCACCCACAAATACATAATGCACGCGTGTATTACATGCCGATCTCGGCCACTGCCTTCGCCCTTTCATTTTGCTCCCCGCTGAGACCTGAGACCCAGACTTCCTTCCAGGGCGATTCATTAAAACATGTAGACCGCGAGGCTGTTGAGGGAGAGGGGGGGGGGAGTTTGTCAGCTGGCTTCTGCGTCGAAATGCGGCAGAGTTCTTGCTATTTAAACTTTTTCACTGAGTAAAGGTGACCAGATATTTATGGGATTTGTTGCGACCAAATAAGAGTAGTGCTCCCACTGATCGATATGGGGAGAAAACTTTTTTAAAGCGTTTTTTAAAGAGAGTATTGTACAGTTTTTCTTCCATGTATGTCAGATTGACAGAAAGCAAGAGACATTTAGAACCTTAAATTTCGTTAGTGAAATTGGACTTTCTGTAAAATGTGCTTGGATGAAATCCTAAAGCTGTAGATTAGATTAGGAAGTTGGAATTTCCCCCCCAAAGGTAGGAAAATCACAAGCATGTGAGGAGTCCCTCGAAGTGGCCCACACCTTTTACAACACCTGGATTTGTCCAGCTTGTCTTCTAAGCGTGTGAATGGCAAAGTTATCCCATTTGTCAGAGGCCTCGGAACCTGACCACTTGTGACCTATATCCTATTGATTTTACATGCCTTAAAACATCAGAAACAGGACATGAATCCCATGGATTTCAGTGGGTTTGAATTAGGTAAAAAAATAGTTAAATACAGATTTTGTAAATAGTGGAAGCGTTTTTGAATTTGAGTTAGTAATCAGCATGCGCAAATATTTCCCAGTCTTACTTCCTGCTTTCTTTCTTTCTTCCCTATTAAGATCCCAATTTCTGCTCCTATGGCAATCACCTTGACCTCCATTCCTTGCCTCAAATTTTAGGTTAGGGTAGCCAAAACCTACACCCACAAAATTCTCCGTGCTAGTCACTCTATTCACTGTCTTCTGAATTGGCAATAAAACTTACTGTCTGAAAACTGCGGACTACATGCAAATCGGTCTACGGATTGAGTCGCAGGGAGATCCACTTTTGCTACCTGGGCGCTGATGGAGCCCAGCCTGCAGCGAATTATTTGAGGTTGCAATCGGCAACTGTATCCATAATGCCAAAGCAGAGGAGGTCTGTATGTTGCGCGTGGACGCGCGTTTACAGCACTTTTAACTTTTCCTACTGTTATTGTAAACATCTTTCATCTCGATTTAAATATAGATTTGTTTATCACTGTCATCTTAGGCGGATTAATCAGATACATTTATTCGCAATTTGGCGTCTGGCACCCCATTTTAGGAATGCCTTATCACAAGGTGTTAATTGGGGCCAGCCAGGCACTTATAAGTTCCATTAAACAGTGTGAGGACTTTTCACGAGTTTTTTTTTCCTCCTCCCTCCCTCCCTCCCTCCCTCCCTCCCTTCTTCTTTCCTTCTTTTTTTTTTAAACACTGCAGTGCAAAAATATACAGGTTGCGTGGAAACGCTACTGAGGGAGGGGAATCGCTTTGCTACTCGGCAATTGGCGCAGGACAACCGAGGAATAGAGAAAAAGAGGGAGCAAATGGAGATTGCTTAGTAGATCAACAATCCAAATTGGACTGCATCTGTTTAAGAGTTTGCTTTGGCGGCTCCTCGGTGGCACGGAACAAAAGACATCCCCCCCCCCCTCACCGCGACAGAGAAATCAGACAACCTTCGGAACATACAGGTTTCCTTCGCGAGGAAAGGGCTATCGAATTGGAAAACCTGCGCTTTCTGGCTGAAAATGGTTGGGCGGCGCACTTCGCCTCTCACCTCCTGGCTGGGGTCCTCTCTTGACACCGGCGCCCTAACGCCGAAGTGCCGGGTCCAATTCTCTGCCTGCAGTCAGGGGAAGGATGCTAGCTGAAGTCGTCCCTTGCACAAGGGGACTTCTGAAGCCACGCCGCGGGCTGGCTCGGCCTTGGTTTCAAGGAAGCTCTCGGAGGCCCCTTCTTCAATCCAAGGAGAAAGTCAGACGCAGTAAGTCCCGCGCGCGCGAGCTATCCCCTCTTCCCCCCAACTAAAGTCTCGGCTGCAATCCCCTTACAAAGAAAATGCTACCTTTATCTATTTTATGTTACAATTATTTAATTAAAATTGCACAGTATGTGTATATTGATTTTAACTTCGCAAGCGCCTGGATCGTTGAGCATCTGATTCAAATCAGATTTGTGCGTACAAGCTTCGGTGTGATAAAAAAATGATTTAAAAATTCTATCCAGAAATGGCATAGAACAGGTCTCTGTTCTTCGAATTAAGCTGCAGGCGTGACTTCCACTTGAAATCGAAGCGCTTCGGTTCCAAGGAAGGTCTCTGCTGCTTGACGTAGACAAGGACTGTCGCTTGGAGGTTTAACAAAACAAACAAAAAAAAGGAATGGACCTGGCTAGCGACGCAGCTGCGCAAGATCCAAGGATTCCTTCTCTTCGTCCCTCATTTGAGCGTGTTGCCATTTCAGGGAGGCTCCCAGAGCGAAGCAGCATTGGCGCATCGCGGAGCACATTTAAGCCCAGCCCGGACAAGTCTTCCTTTGGCTACTGGCGCCAGTCCACATTTTCCGAAGCAGAGCAGGAGAACACCTCGGTTGCTCTCAGTGCCAAATTAGCTGCCGACGGTCTCAAAGCGGCTATGGACAAAGGCGCCTGACTCCGGATTCACTGTCTCGCACTGTAGCTATAACTTAGGCATCGAGACCGCTAGGCGCTCCAGAGATGTCCGACTTCGCTCCTTCTGGAGGAGGAGGGTGGATCCAACCGACTTAAGGGCGAACTATTCCCTTTCTGCTTATCTGGACTAGGTTTTACTTCTTCTCGCGCGGACAGGCGCTGGGAGGAGGGGCGGTGGTGTTTTGGGTAAAATTCTTGTTCACTATGGAATCTGGAGTTTTATGGCTGGGTAAGGCAGGCCAGCCTTTTGGTTGTGCGGCAGATTAAGAGAGGAATGAGGTATAGCGACCTTATTATCTTCTACCACCCTGTTCTACCTACCTTGTTCCTAGTCAGCTGCCAAAATTATTTTATTTTGGAATAACAGCACTACTTGTTGCTTCAGAACAAAACCTCAGTCAGGCACCCAAATCTTCATAAGCATTTGCAGTAAAAAGAAAACTTCTCAACAACTAATACAACAAGAAGTCCTTATCATTGTAATACATTTATTATAAATCATGAACAAATGAGCATTCCTCCAAATAAAATTAATAATTTGTTTTAAAGCCTTTTGTGACGTCAATATCTGATACTATTTATAGACTGTGAAAACAAGAGGCACAACACTTTCCATATAAAACAATTGAAAAAATACACTCACTACCTACCAATAAATAGACATTTTGACATACTCACAGCTTTAGTGCCCACTTTCAATTTAGAATTTGCTTAAATGAAGAACTCCCAGCATATCCTCTTCAACTGCAGTCCTAACTAGAAGTAAATTGAGTATTTTGCCATAGCCTACAATTATGCCTAGACACAGAGCTGTACATGTTATATGGAATCATTATTTGCTATTTTTGTAGTAATATTTCACTGCCATGAGATCAAAAGTCCCTGGTCCAAAAAAAAAAAAGTTTTAATTGCTAAACTAAAACTTTTGTTCTTGCATATGTCATGAAAAATTGCTCTAAAGGAAAAGCCTTTGATTATTTTTCAGATAGTGAGCAAAAACAGATCCAATTTAGACTCCTTTTTGACAGAGATTTCTAAAGGAAATTTAGAATTTCCTTTTTTAAAATTGATTGGCAATGCATAAAACATAACCATTAATTAAAATGTGGATATGTATTATTTACCCCCTCCCTTTCTAACCATTCCAAAGGAAAAGCTAATTTAATCTTAGAATACCACTTAAGCATTTTCCCTTAAACCTTGGGAATGAGCAGAAGAGACTAATTTTTTTTTTTAGTGCTATTTTGTTTCTTCCATTTTTTTTTCTGTGGAAGTCAGACAAAAACTTTGGCACATTCTATAGAATTGCACAAGACCATTTCAAAAGGTGACGATACCAAAGGTTCCTCACCAAGGGATCTCAGCACCACCACTGAACATGTACAGTTAGTCAAATGTTGGGACACCAGGACTCGAAACACTTAAGAACTGGTATAAAAAGCATAGTAGCCCATGCCTTTAGAAACATCTTTGCCATAATCCTCAGCATTCATATCCTCACATTTCATTGTTGGAGAGTTTTCATTGCTGGAGCTGTTTGGGGACAATCGCCGCCTTTTACAAGCACCACTATAAACTCCAGAATCATTTGAATCTAGAGATTTTATGGATGGAGGTGTCTCAATCCAAGATGACCCCATTTCTTCTTTCACTTTTTCTTTTGAAAGGAGGTCTTCGGAGAAACCCGGAGGGCTTGTTCTTGAGGTCCAAGGTAAACCGGTAGACATTTTCCTTGGGTAAGAGCCTCGACTTCCCCATCCAGCCACAGAAGAAAAGGTTGGATCTGGATAATACCCCAATGCATGGGATGGCTGAATGGGAAGGGATTTGATACCATAAGAGAGTAAGCTACTTGGAGAGTAATCACTTTCATAGGAATTCATGTCCAGTTTGTTGGCCCCAGACTGTTGGACCGGAGTGACAAACCATCTCTGGGGTGGATTAGTCACCTCTTCAGTTTGCTGCGGAGAGAGGAGGCCATTTGTCTGTGGTACAGCTCTTTCACCATTATAGAATCTAGCTGGTGGGAGGTTGTTGACAAATTGTTCCTGGAAGAAGGGCTGTACACTGTACCGGGCTCCTGGGACAATCTGGTGGGATCTAGGAGAATCCGTAGGAGATGGAGTTAATCTGTCATTTTCTGAAGCTGTGTACATGCTACAAATATAAAAGAGAAAGGCTAAGATACTGGTGTTTTTTTTTTTTGCCATTCAAAAATTTGATGTTAATATGTATGGAACCTGAATGGGGCTCTAAGCAGAGTTCACTGGAATGCCATCTTAATGCTAAAGATTGTATGTCCAATGTACACTTTTTTTCCTATTAATACTGCTAATTAAAGATAATAAAGAAAACTCATGTGTTTAAATAAAGATAATTAGTGTGTTTAATTTAAATTTTTAAAAAATTATACTCCAGCTTAAACATTTTTTTATATCTAATAGTCTCTGCTAACCTAACTCACTCATCTGTTCCAATGCGCAATGTACATTCTGTCTATTCAGAAAGTCAATCCCTTCTCATTCAATAGAATTTACTCCCAAATATATATATATCTACTATTACTTTGTTACATTAGGTGCTGGTAGAGTTTTGTTAGTTAACCGATTTGTTCTTTGCTCAGTTGCAAAGTCAAATATAAAATTCAAAGTAAGTATTCTAATTAAAAGAAACATTATGAGTCTTTTAATGTCCTTCGCACTATGTAGAGATACACGAATCATTACTTACGAATCATAGTTGTCCCTGAAACCTTTTGCAAAAGGGTTATGATCAATTTTAAGCTGTGTGATCTGGAAAGTAAATCAGAAAAATAGCATGACCTATTTAGATATGTTATAGCCAAAAAGACAAATGCCTTTTTGTGTGTGTAAAAAGGAGGAAAAATTACATGGAAAATTAAAATTTCTATATAAATATTGCAGGTTGGGTGGGTTACACATTCTGTCAGGTAAGGAATGTTGACTGGCAGATTCCAGGAGGATTTCCTCAACCGCCAAGGCTCCTGGCCTCTAGAACCTTCTTTCTCTGGGACTGAGGATGACCCTGACCCTGTTGGCCTTAGTCACCTGACTTTGTACCCTCACGGTATGAAGGGTCCTGTTTCCTGGCTATGTTGATATCTATCATTATTTTTCTCATCTGCCATATATATATTTAATTTGTATGATATTGCAATTGTTTTTAACTGCTTTATTATTGTTTGCTGTCCAGAGTCACTTGCTTGACGACATTGGCAGCTGTACAGAATGAATGAATGAATGAAATGAAAGAATGAATGAATCAGAAAATAAATTTATTTATAAATCTGCTAAATAGATTGGTGGAACACAGATTGATGGAAATAGTAATTTACATGCCACACTAATACTAAAACACTCAGCCTCACAATTCTGTTCACTTCCATGTTTTTATCACTTAATTTAAAAAGGGCATAAGGTGAAAGAGGATGCTATGCTACCGATAAAAAAATCAATTAGAGTAGTGAGATTATGTTATCCTTACATCAGTGTTCTGATATGCAGTAACAGCTATGAACTGTGTTTCAGGAAAGTTGAAAGTTTGTGTTTTAGTAGAGTCATTCATATCTTCAACACCATCTTCTGTCACTTCCACAATATGGAGACGAGGCTGATATTTGTGCAGGGACTGTAGAACAATCATCTGGAAACAGTTTAGCCATCTTTTGTTACAAGACAAATATATTTAAAATCTATCAAATTTTGTACAGAATTAGGATTAGGATTAATGGCCTATTTTTTCATTTACATGCCAGTTTATCTCTGTTAAAAGGCAAGATTGAATCAATATTAAAGACTGCTGGACCAATGTTGTCTGATTCAGATCACATTTAAGTACTTTTTTTTTTACCTGAGTATTATTATTATTAGCCCCTTTGTTGTTAGTAAGTTTGAGTTTTCCAAAAGAGATTTCCTGTCTCATCCAGTGGGCTCCAGTATTGGGAGATTCAGGATGAACGTAAACCTTATTGCCTATTAGAAGCAGTGGAAAACAAATAAAAATATGTTTTAGCTCTGTCCTTCTGTATCAGAGGCACTGACATAACCACATATTAGCCAAAGCATGTACCTATAAGTATCAGGTTTAGAAAAGAGGCACTGTTGTTCACACACTTGCACATCTAGTAATATGTTGCCACTGGCTTTTTCAGCCTTCAGAAATGTAGCATCCATAATAAGACTAAGAATATATCATAATAAAAAGATAATTTCCTTGCTAATTATTTGCAACATATTTCAACTATATCCAGCTATCACCTTAGCAATTTAATCACACATACAGGTGTTTTTTTATTGTTTTAACTATTGTTGAAATGACCGGAAGAAACTGTAAGAGGGAAATAACTCTATATCATTTCTCAAATTTTGGGCACAAGCAGAGGTCATGAAGATCTCATTTAAAAAGTGGGAGAAATATTATTCACCCATAATGAACATAAAGGACAGGAAGACCTGGAGGAATGTTGTCCATGGGGTCACGATGGGTCGGACATGACTTCACAATTAACAACAACAACAAAATAATGAAATTATTGACTACAAAGAAGATATACGGTACATGAAGCAAAAATGCATCTGTTTTCCTACTCAGCTAAGTGTAACGTGCGACAGACCTCTATGTTGAAAGAGGAAGGCCAAAAACAAAACAAACAAAAATTCCCCCACCAGCTGTAGTCCTAGGCCTTACATAATAATATCCTACCTTGCATATTATTATCAGCTTTGCCACATGTCACCCATTTTCCTCCCTGGAAGCGCCAATGATTAGGATCTGCAAGCACTACTTCCACAAAAACGTTGTAATGGGCAGTAGGATTGAGGCCTGTTATGTTGAAACTCAGGAAAGGAAACATCCGCCTGAAATGGGAGGGGGGGGGAAGAGGAAGAAAAAAGAAAGGGGCTTTTAGAGAAGGAGCCTGCAGCTATTTGCCAAAAACTCCTGCAGAGTCCCTCTGGCAGCATGTTTCAGCCTTGGCTAGCACCTGGGCAAAGAAAAGGAGGCAGATGGTGGTCCCCTTACAGGTTTTATATTTAGAGAGCCACTGGGAGAGGGTTTGGCTCTAAGGATCCTCTCTCTTTTGCAAGGATGCAGGAAAGAAAAGATCTCATCCCCTAGCAAAATTCTGCCTTGGAGAATAAAGATCCTCCTGTAGTTGTTCCACAGTTCTCCTATGTAAATGTGCTGATCTCCAGTTTCATCATCAGTTTTGAGGGCTGGAATTTTAACTTTTGAACCTCAAACCCTGGTTTCCTGGGACAGTGTTATTCTCTACACTGAAGCCATTTGCTGTTTCTAATAATTATTCAAAGCAAACCCATTGGGGGAAAAGTAAGCATTCTGCTGATTCTGTCTTCTTGAAATCTTAAAATAGAAAAAAGGCAGCAGTGTGATTTCCCAGCAACTTTGATCAGACTAATTTCCAAACTAATGGTACAAGAATCAGGTTGTTACAACATATTAAATAAAAACTAAAAGTCAAATAGAGATTCATAAAATCAGAATAGTAAATGCAATTCTGTGTCTCTTTCCAAGGAGATTAGTGCTAATGTGAGGTTCTAATGCATATTAACACATATTGTAGCACCAGTGCTTAGAATCTAGTCTAATTGCAGTAGAGGGGAGCAAGCTAAGAAGTGTGGACTGGCTGCTGGAGAATGAAGAAATAACATTCCATGAAAAAAACATTGCATTCTGAAATAGGAAAGAAACGAAACCAGGGAGACCATTAAAAAAGCAAAAACAGAACCCACTCAAAAGGGTAGCCAGCATCTCAGTCATTTGCTGCAGATTTCTTTTCTCTTTTGAGTGCAACTGGATCGTCTAATCCTCCTTTCCAAAGCATGTTTTCAAACATACTGGTTTCGAAGAAACGAATTTATTCTTTTCAAAACCAGATGTTTCCAGGGTGCACAAAGCTGCTTCCACCCAAAGCTTAAATCCGGACGAGAGAGGGCTGCAGCTCCACTCTCCTTTTGACACCCACCCCAGGAATGCAGTTGTTAACATAGATGCTTCGGCAGGAAAGCTGCGCTCCGAAACCACCACCCCTACATCAAAGCCTACCTGCCCTGTTTGGTTATGATCATCTCGGTTTGATGTCGGTGGAACTTCAGCCAGAGCGGCCGATTGCAGAGGAAAACCTGGGCCCGGAGCCCCCCTGCCCCGCCGGGCATCGCCAGTCCCCCTAGGCCGCCGCAGGAGCCCCCCGCCGCCGGATAGGGATTATAGAGGCCACCGGGAGGTGCGCCTTGGCCATATTGATACGTGCTCGCAGCTGCAGCGAAGGGCGTCCTAACCGCTGCCGTCGAAAAGCTGCCCGGCGGCGTCAGCACAGAACCGTAGGGATAGCGCGCTCCACTGGGCGCCTGGTAAATGGAGCCGGACTGCGAGTTCCCAGCAGCCCCAGAGTACGGAAAAAGCGAGCACGGACTGCCCAGCTCGGCACTAGCTTGCGGGCCGGGAGATTGCAGGTAGTACCGCTCAGGACTCAGGCTATCTAGACCGTAGCGCGCAGGCGGGGGTGGTGGTGGTGGTGGTGGTGGCGGCGGCAACACGTCTTCCTCAGTTGGACACGGAGAGCTCTTACGCCCGCCATCCGCGACCTCGGCCGCCGCTTTGGATGGCATCTGTCCGGCAGTGACGAAGGGCGGTGTCTCGCCCGCCGCCTCGGCCTCACCTAACAGGCTCGCTGCCGGCCCAGAAGCGCCTCCGAACTTTTTCGGCCCCTTCTCCAAGTCCAGGCGCGGCGGCGACCCAGTGTTGAGATGTCGCGTGGTACCGCCGGCTCTCCCGCCCGCGGCTTCCAGCGGATAAAACGGAGCGCCCGGCAGATTAGCAGAACCGCCTAGGAGTTGCTCCCCCAGTTGCATCTCGCCAGGAGATTCTGCCCTTGCCTCCGCCCAGAAGTGCCCCTTAATGCTCGAAGAACAGCTCTAACGAGAGCCGCAAACAGCGCGCACCTCACCCCTCCCGAGGTCTACGTTTCCCAGACGTCTTAAAGAAAGAGAAAAGGTCGTTAGCCGCCCTCTGTGGCGACCTATTGAAAGCCACCAACCGCCCCCGTCCCTTTAATCCCATGCCAGTGAGCGCACCCGGCCGTGCTCGGGAGCATGTATACATATATATAGGCGCGCGCGCTTCTTTCTTGTAGCCGGGGAGGGGCTTGGAGGCGGTTCCACTCAGAGACGAACTTCTCTTATTCTCGTTCACCTATTGGCTAAGCCAGGAGACATTAATTTAATTAGACAGTTACTAATTGAAACAAGTCAGCTGTGACTCCTGGAGGGCGGTACGTTTTTAAAGTCACCCTTCTCTTTGCATTGTTAAATAATTTCGATGAACCAGAAAAAAAGAAAAAGTTTGCCTGTAAATAAGACGGACTTAAGTTTTTCTTCCGCGAAAAGGAAAAGAGAAACGTTTATTAACTTTTAAAAGCGTTCATCTCAACTTTAAGGAAAACGGAGTCAATAGGTGTCTGGTTGATTCTTAGACTGCCTGCCACGGCAAGCCCGAAATCAACTTTCAGGGTCGCAGAAAAGAAGGGCCACTGACTTTGAGTTCAGCGCGATGGTCTACCCGTGAAGTCACCGTCCCCCGCAACAGGCGAGGCCTTATTTCGCCAGCCCTCTCGACCAAGCAGGGAGAGGAGACGCGGCGGGGGGTCGCCCTCAGCATTGGCTGCAGAGGCTGGCCGATGCCCCCCCTTCATAAGGCGGGGGACCGGTCCCGTGCTGCCCGTTTTGTGTGTGTGTGTGTGTGTGTGTGTGTGTGTGTGAGAGAGAGAGAGAGAGAGAGAGAGAGAGAGAGAGAGAGAGAGAGATCCTCAGGGCTCTGCGAGGGAAGAAGTGGATGAGGGGAACAGGAACCTCAGGAACCAGGGAAGAGATTTTCCTGTTGCACTCACGGAAAGCGACTTGTATATGATATTGGCAAGGAGGAATTTATTTTGCTTCTCGACCACCGGGCCTTGCAATTTCAATCCTCTTTCAAGTATGTACAGAAAAATTGAAAAGTTGTCATTAGTCTGAAAAGTAATACAAGGCATTTATTTACCACCAGCTATTCTAACGGAAGCTGCCAGAGATTCGGGCAGACCAAAACTCTTACCATCCCACGCGCCTTTTTGCTGAGGGCAAGATCCTGTGAATTCGGCTTAGCTTTCAGAGGCATAAAAAGGCCTGCGCCGTTAAACTGCAATCTGTAAGATTGGAGGCTAGTCTCCTTGAATTTAATGAGCTTTAATTCCAACGCGGGCTCAATAGAAGTAGGCTTTGGAATTGTTTGTGTGCATGTGCTTTCTGGATTTTATTTCTCGAATACGACTAGATTTTTATCGAGAATAATCCAGGTAAACCGCTGAGAAAAAGCAGAGATTGTCCACCAAATTTCAGTAAGGACGGGACCAAAAGTACTGAGCTTGCTTAGGGAGATCTTCGATCCCAATAGCTCTTACCTTGATTTGGAACCCTGGCTGATTCGGACTGGAAATTGATCACCTGCAAGCAGCACCGCAGTGCACGTTATTAGAGGAACTTTTGCGCAACGACTCCTGGAGCTTACGCAAGAACACGCCCAACGGCATGACGCCGCCAGCAGTAACACATTAGTCGAGGGAATTCCGGAACATTCTCCCTCAATAACCAAGAGGCCTTTTCCAAATCTGTCCTGGGACGTAGCGCAAACTTCTGCATGCTTAGTGGACGTTTCCTCATTGTGTTTAGCGAAAGCCTCCTTTAAAAAGTCGAATAAGGAGCTGTTCCGAGTTGCCGTGAGTTTAGCGTCCACCGTAGATACCGGGGGATTCTTTCCCGCAGCGTCTTCGTTATCCGCCGTCACGAAAAATCTCCAGTTAACAAACCAAATAAGGAAAGTACCGTAAAACGAGATTGATCGCGGCTGTACGGTAATGTGTTTTAAAGCTTAGCGTTCCCCTGTTTCTCAAGTGTCTGAGAAATTCAAAATTCGTTCCTAAAAAACAACATGCCGTTTAAAAGCGAAACGAAGCAGGTCTTTTGATGTGCTTGCAAGATGTTCGAAGGTTAATAAATAGGGGATCGTTGGTAATAATTCTTCAGACTATCTTTTTATAACAGAACATGAAAGATCGGAAGAACGTAATTTTTTCCTGCGTGTTAGTTTCACCTTAAGTGAGTACATGTATCGATTAAACTGCGTCTATTGAAAAAAAAAAATATAAATTAACTCTTTAAAACTCTTTAAGATATGCAGCATACATTCCCACTTCTTTTTATAAAATGCTGGATAAAAAATTCGTTGATTTCATTGAAATTTAGTTTTAAATCAACATGCGAGACACAATCTTTCTTCCTTAGTTAATTCCTCCTTTCTATAAATGAGGCAAGTTCTTATTGTAAGTTACAGAGAATTTGTCCTTTTGTGAGATAAAACTATCATGTAACATAAGTTTCCCTGTTATTTCAAATTTTTGGCTGGATTCACACAGTGGGTAAATATTAGATTGTTTAACTCTTGGTAGATCATTGAAAACCAAATCACAAATTGGCTTAACTTAAGACAGGGTGTGAATTGAGCTAATGCTCTGAAGGACAGCAAATTTCTACCATTGGCAGCCCGTTTTGTAAGCAAAGATCTCCTTCACTTTTAACAGAAAGGTGCTACAATTTCCATAGAGCCACATGACAAGTAAAGCCTTACCTGTATTTTCTTTGTGCAGGGTTTCACTTCACCAAACAATTAACTTTGGTCTTGTTTCATTTTGAATTAAATTTTAAATGCCCAAGAAGGATTCTCTCACTGAAAAGTTAAAACAGTGAAAGTTCAATATTTCATTTTAAAAACATATGATTGAAAATGAATTACTTGGGAATAAATAGTGGTTTACCTTTAAGCAACACTAACCACAATGAGATATGGGTCTCTTCACAATTTAAAGAACAGCACTGTTGGATTCTCTCCTTTTTCCTGAACTAGTAGGTCTATAAAAGTTCAGATATAATTTTGCTGTGCTGAGTTTAGGGAGATTCAAGATATTCTGAACTTTCTCATTCATAGTAGATAGAAAATGTTATGTCAATCTTAATAAATTATTCCCCACTTTCATGCAAGAAATGAAACAAGAATTGAGATTATCATCTCAAACTGTCATTCCAAAATCACTTGCTTATAGATCCTGTTGAATTTTGAATGGAGCTTACTTCTGAGTAAGCATATTTTAAATTATGAGATCATGTAGCCTGGCTCCCTTTCCACATTGATTAGTTTTATCAATTTTTTATAGCAAACACTTGTTGCATCCACCATATTTCAAGCAGAGCAGAATGAATTATTTATGTGACTGTTCAGCACCTTGGAGAGTGGCAACACAGATTATGAACTACTTTCATATTATTTACTAAGCAAAGTGATTTTGCTAATGGCATTGCATCTTCCTTCCATTTTGCCAGTAGATTTCCAAAATGCACCCTTGCCATATTTAATAATATTTTCCTGCTGTCTTTGGGCAACATTGCTACCTTCCCCACTTCACACATATCAGTAAACAGCTGATTTTGACTGTAGTTTAAACTTAAATCAAACCTAGCTACATTAGAACTTTAATAGCTATATTTAGAGTTTTCAGTGCCTTTGTCCTTCACCAAGATCTCCCTGCTGAAGTTAAGTTTGCCTATTTAACAAACTTTTTAAAAATAAAATTAATGCAGCCATATTAGTCTACTGGTAACTTCCTAAAATTTTAGCTGGAGCTATCAAAATATCATAAAGTATGACCTAGGTTTCCATCTAACTTCTAGTTTTTCTGTTCTGGGTTTTATCCCCAGGAAGGGGGGCAAAAAAGTCATGCCAATACAAAGGATGGGACCATGATTCCCATGGAATTGAAATTTGGCAAATTTTCAATGACAAAAAGAAAATATGTGTGTGTGTGCGCGCGCGCGTGCGGGTGCGCACACAGGCACATGTGTGTATAACAGTGTCAGTGTCAAATATTCTCTCTCCATGTTTTTCAGAAAGGCCTTGAAATTCCCTTAGAACAGTGGTTCTCAACCTGTGGGTCGGGACCCCATTTGGGGTCGAACGACCATTTCACGGGGGTCGCCAAACAAGGCTGTCCGCCATTTTCCCCCCTTTGGCCACGCCCCTGGCATCCGGTGATGTATAAGTGGTTGGGGGTCACCACAACATGGGGAACTGTATTATGGAGTCACGGCATTAGAAAGGTTGAGAACCACTGCCTTAGAAACTTAATAAAGTTTAGAAAATACGGATAACTTTTGTGAATCTTCTCTCTATCCACTACTCTGATCTCACAGAATTCCAGTGTAGTTTTAGTATCATTTGTTAGATCATAATCTGCATAAATATTAGATGGAACCCTATTCCATCAAAACTTCTTCTCTGTGACTTCATTGGTTTGTTCTAAGTGTTCTTGTGACTACAGGTAGTTCTTGATTACAATCTGTCACCTAGTGATCATTTGAAGTTCTGACAAAACTCCTCCAATTGCTACTTATGGTCTGCTTTCGAAGTTCTGATGCCCCCTTCCCCATGGTGATCTGATTACATTTTGGGCAGTTGGCAACAAACCCATATTTACAGCCATTTACAGTGTTTACGGTGATGTGATTACTACATACAACAATTTTACTGGAAATGGGCATTTACTTCCAGTTTCCAACAAAACTGAGCCATAGCAAACAATGGGTTCATTTAATGACAGTAGCATTTGCTTAATGACCACTGTGAGAAAGGTTAAAAAATTGAGTCTAGTTCAGTGGTGATCTGCTTTATGAGCTTTATGACTTACCACTGTAATTGCCAGACTTTTTTTTTTTTTAAAAAAAATACATTTTATTGGGTTTTTTTAAATTTTAACAAAGAGTACTTTAGACACACCGTGGTGTTTGGGTAAACAAACAATTCAAGGTGAAAAATGTACATAAACAGCTCAACTTAATACATTCACTATCATCTCTCTATTTCTCACAAATAACATAATAGATTTAATATATTCCACTTCTAGCTTAAATTTCTGTTACTACTTCACCTGTTTTATAGCTTTATCAATTTAAAATTACCATAGTCAAATA